GTGAAAAACAGATTGTCGGAGTCGGAATCAGAAGCGGAAGAACTAAACCAATCACAAAGCGTGGGAACGTGCATTGTGATTGTTTTAGCCTTCCGCTTCTGCTTCCGACTCCGACAATCTGGTTTTCACTAAAAGACCTAAAACATAACCGGAATGTAGGCGACGGGAGTCGTAAGGAGGCTCGGAAGAAAAAGGGAAACTTCGGATTTCATCGCGCTTGTGACTGCGCGTACGATTCTGATTTTTGATTTTCACCAGGTCACAAGCGCTCTTACAACTCCGACTCTGACTCCGAACTCCGTCGCTAGTGAAAACCAGCCTTAATTGAGCACTTAAACGGGCAGCACGCGACGTTTTCCTCTTCGTTAAGGCTGGTTTTCACTAGCGACGGAGTCGGAATCGTAAGAGCGCTTATGATCCAGTGAAAATCAAAAAGTGGGAGTCGTAAGCGGAATCAAAAGTGCGACGGAATCGGAGTCAGAAGAATGAGAACGTTTCCATTTCTTCGGACTCCGCTTACGACTCAGTCGCTTACGTTCCGCTTATGATCTAGTGAAAACCAGATGGTCGGAGTCGGAAGCAGAAGCGGAAGGATAAGCCAATCACAATGCACATTCCCACGCTTTGAGATTGGTTTTGTTCTTCTACTTCTGCTTGCGACTCCGACAATCTGGTTTCACTAGAACATAAGCGACGGAGTCGTAAGCGGAATTGGAACGCTGCTTTCACTAGATCATAAGCTCTACGCTTCTGATTACGACTCCGACTCCGACTCCGTCGCTAGTGAAAACCAGCCTTTCATAGACGCCACGGTATCTCCTTCAGTTTGCCCTTAAAGGAGAAAGTGAAATATATTTCGGAAAATGAAACTGTTGCCTTTTGAGGGGCAACTTCTAAAGGTCAAACATTTTTGCAATGTCATATTGAAGACATCTCCCTCCCAAACTTTATTTTTTAATCTCTGAGTATTCCGTTCAACAACGATAAGGGCGAGGCTAAGGAAATGTCTGACTGCTACTCTCGGAAACAGAGGATGATGCACTGGATAGCGAAACAGAATGTGATTTGGACCATATTGACAGTGCATTTTTCAGGTATTCGGGATGTTATTTCTTGTCCTTAGATCCCATGTCCTAATGCACACTTATGTGTAGAAAGGAACCAGCAAAGGCGTCAATAGAAAATCTGGAAAAATTCGCCAGAGGGTAAGAGGGTAATTTGAAGAAAATGACGAATAATTCAAAAATGGCGAATGCCAAAGATTTAATTAGTGAAAATTCTACAGAGATGGCGGTTTAAAGGGTCCCCTTGAAAAGTGGCGATTTTGACAAAAATGGCGATATGGTTGGCAAAATTTCTATTGAGATGTTGACAGAGCTCTCTTGAAAAGTGGGGATTCGACGAAAATGGCGAATTTGCATACAACAATTCAAAAATGGCAAATGTGACGACAAATCACCTAAGTGTTGGCGAAAATTCAAACTTGACTCAAAAGAGATGTTGTTGCGTACATTTCTGGATATCTGATCTCCAAATGGTGGGGGGAAGGTCCAGCCATTCAATACGCAAGTTGCCGTCAGCTAGTGTCCCGGGTAAATGTGTAGAATTTTTGGGTTGACGTGAAATTAGTATGTTTCCCCTACTTTTCATGAAATATGGGCCACTACGCATTTCTTGCGAAATAGTTTGGGACTTCGATGATGAGCTGCCGTGAAATCGCTATGTTTCCTCTAGTTTGCAAAAAAATACTTTATGATAATGCACATAATGCATCCCATTTTAAACGAAATGCGAAATAGTCCGAGGCGCTGGAATGAAGTGCTGTGAAACAAGTATTTTCACTAATTCCCATGGATGTGTGGTGTTCCGCTGCTTTTCCTGGAACGGATCCAGTTTAATATGAGGAGTCTTGGGGTTGCAGTGAAATTACTGTGTTTTCACTATTGACACTATTCTATCATGAGATATTGGGCCACGACGCATTCTTGTCCTTAGATCCCATTTTCGTCGGACTGGGAAATAGTCCGTCACTCAAATGAATTTCTGTGAAATCAGTGTTTTTCTAAAAACATGAAGGAGACATTATATGGAAATTACACATTTCTGGCCTGCATGGGGTAAACCCCTGCTCTTGAAAGGGTTGCGGTGAAATGAGTGTTTCCTACTATTTTTCATTGAATATCCTGGTAAATATGTGGAGTTTTCGTCGGCCTTCAATTTGGAGTGTGGGCCACTACCAGGAGCTAATCGGCTTCTGCCACTACGGAGTTTTATAGTCCAGGACTTGAATAAATTGCTTCGAAATAAGAAGTGTATGTCACTCTGATCAATATAGTTTGCAGAAAATATGGTGCCAAAAACTAATTTCTTACGGTATTCAATAAATGTGAAATATAGTCCAGCACTTGAATGAATTGTTTTTGCCAGTGTTTGTTGCTGTGAAATTATTGTATTTTATGTGAGTGAAACATATTCCGTTACTTCGATGAAGTGAGGTGAAATCAGGGCCTTTCCTCTAGTTTCCATGAAATATAGGGCTAAATTTGCATTTTTGGGTCCTTGGATCCCATCTTCTAATGATCGCGAAATAGTTTGGTACTTTGATGAGCTGCTGTGAAATCAGATGTTTCCCCTAGAATTTTTGGAATATTATGGCCAATACGCATTTCGAATTCCGGCCCTGAGAATGGCTGCGATCTTCCAATTTTTTTAAAAAAAAAGCTATATAGTCCGGCAGTTCCATAATAACTCCTCTAGTCTAGTGGGGTTAATTTAACTCCTTACAGTGGAGTTTTTTTTTGTGGGGAAGGGGAGGGGGCGATGGGGGGGGGGAGTTTTTTTAACTCCAAAAAGGAGTTTAAAGAACTCTTTTTTAGGAGTAAAAATCACCCAGATATTGAGGAGTTGGAATATCCCCCAAAAAGGAGTTATCCTGTACCTAAAATTGTTACTCTGACTTGAACAGAGTTAAAGTAGTTCCAATAAGAGTAAAAACAACTCATGTAAGGAGTAAAATAACCCCATTTTCGGAGTTATTTTATCTCCAGACTGGGAGTTAAAACCGGAAATCTTTTTTAGGAGTAAAAATGATCCTAAATTTGGAGTTAAAGTAACCCCATTAAAGGGGTTATCCTGTGCCTAACATTTTGACCCTATTTTTTGAGTTACAATAACTCCCTAAAAATTTACTGTGTGAGTTGCCGTGAAATAAGTGTATTTCCACCAGTTTGCATGAAATATGGGCCAAATAGACATTTTTGACCCCTAGATCCCATCTCTTTAACGAATGCGACGAACTGCCGTGAAAGCATTGTGTTTCAAAAGGGCAGTTATGTTCCCTGCTTGGATCCCACTTTCTAATAATTTGGAAATGTTCAGTGGGCACTTCGATGAGTTAATGTATAAATCAGTGCGTGTTTTCACTAAAACCCGCACGACTATAAAGAACCTGAGTTTTAAGAACATGTTAGGCTAAAATTTGAAAGAGGTTCTTATTAATACTCTAAAATCTATAAAAAGACATTCTGTGCTCTTGGGCAAATACTGAAGATAAGTCAACTTTGGGGAAATGTTGTGAGTAGTGAAAGGGGACCCAATAAGTACTGACCAATCAGAGCGCAGCAAAAATTGTCTCGACCAATCAGAATCGCGCATGTAGCCCATGTGACCCCATTGACGTCACAAATGCCCATATATGGTCATGGTTGTTCACGTGACCCCATGGAATAATGAACACACGCACACAAGAGTTAGATCCACATTTTTCACATAGTTTTAATGACCGCGTAGAACCTGGTGACAAGCGGGACGTGTGTGACGTCCAAGTGACGTCACGCCCATTACAAATCTAATAGAAGGTCGAGTTCGTCCCCAATCCTTTCATAGCCATAAGGATGACTGGATCGGGTGGCTACATGGATGACGCGCTTGTCAAACACCAACCCATACTGCTTCACGCGCGGAACCACTTGAATTTGTTTTTTCTCTAAATCCCGTTTGAAATAATAGGGGGTGGTAATGTTCAAATTTCGGCGAGAGTCCTGGGGCGAGTCTAATTCGGAGAGAATGTTGTCTTTCATGGTCTGAAAATTGAGAATGGCCGACCCGCGAACGTTCAGGGTGAAACCGCGTACCTTACACACCACTTTGCCACCACGGATCTGGTACCCATAATTCTTGGCGCCCCCCGAAACAAACTCGGTGATGACGTCTCCGTCCAATTCGTCGGTCATGTCCCCGAGAAAATCCCCGGTGGCAATGCTGGGTTGACCGGGACGCCACTTGTACACCACACTGTCTGTGTCATAGTAAAGGACTTGCTGTTGAAGGATGTCCAGGGACTCGTAGAGCTTCAATCGAGCATGACAGGTGGTGAAAGCTGCCACGAAAATGTTGGTCTTGGTGCCTTTGACGGCATTGTCTTGGACACTGGTGTAAACGGCCTCTAGGATATCGTCGGTGCAAAGGCGGAGCGTACTGAGATCGAGGGCAGCATCGGAGATGAGGCTGAACAAATGGGCAGGGTCTCTGACAGTGACGGTGGTGGGTTTGTTGATCCGCTCCCCGAATTTGCCCCAGAAACTGTTCAGCATGAGCTTGGCCGTGGCCTTGCGACCGGGATTTTTGGCAATGCTGGCAATGTCCAGTCGGATCCCTTCCCGTTCCTGGTAGCGAAGAATGTAGTCTCGTTTCTGCTCGAGGGTCTGACACCAACCGGGCCACCCCGCTGATTCTTGTTTGATCTTGAGCCACGTGTTCACGTAATTGGCAAAAAGACCCGTTTGGCGTTGCTCAGGGGGAAAATGCCAAACTTCATGGATCTTGATCAGCGTGTACCCCTTTTCAACAGCTTTGACCAGTTGGGGCGTGCACCAGGTGCCGCGTAGCGTGCGATCGGCATCGGAATGAGGGCAATAGCGGGTTCGGGTCAACATGGGTTGGGCCTGCTCTGTCTGGACACAGGCGCGGCAGAGAGGAAAGGTGAGTTTGTGTCCGCTGCGCACGGGCAAGACGGGGTGGAACAAGCCAGCCGGAGGAAGAATGTCCACGGTGGCGACACCAAAATAGGACTCCAGGGACTGGTCGGCGGGCTGAGTGATGATTTTTGGATGTCCAATGGGGTAGGGACAGTTTTTGTTCACCCATGGGTACAGGGAGGTCACATCCACATAGCGTATTTCCTCGCCCTCTCCAGCCACAGCATGCAGAGCCACCGCGCCGGTTCGACCTCCAAAGAAGGCTTCACGGGGTTCCAGGGGTGCCACCAGATCGAAGGAAGTCAGGAAACGTTGAACGGCTTCATCCGTGTCCACTAATTTGTCCCAGTCACATTCCCATATTTCGATCACCGTGTAGCCTGCTCGGAGCAGTGCCATGCGTTTGGAGAGTGTGGCTTGATACAGTTCCTCCACGCTTCTGTCTGGCACAGCATAATGTTTGACGTTTCTCATAGGATAACAGCGGGAACAGCCATGGTAGAGACATCCGTGAAACTCGTAGACGGTGCGAGTCAGGGGATCGTAGCCATCGACGAAATGACGGTGGGCGCCGGTTCGGATAGACTGTTCGCCCCCACTACGAACGTGACGAATGTGGTCAGCACTGGCCCCCTCTTTGGGAATGAGGTGTTCCTGGTAGTAGAGCCATTGTAGGGCTTTGAGGGATTGATTGACTTGGGCCCCTCGCCACCCTCCGAGAGGTTCCACAGCAATGGTGTCGGGGGTTAAATGGTGCTTGCGCCAATACAGATTGCAAGCACTGGCGATGGTCATACACTTGGCCATAGGGTTGAAGCCAGCCTGCTGTTCAAATTCTTGCTGAAAGGCTTCACACCCGGCTTTTAACAGAGCCACATCCGATTTGCAATAGTCAATCATTTCTTGCTGGAAATGGAAGGGCACGTTCCGACGGACTTGATCTGCGTGCCAATTGGTCAGTTCGTCTTTCTTTTTGGCCATCATGCCGTCAGGATCGTAAAACTCCAAATCGGGGATGCGGCCCACATACTGTTGGTGATCGGGGGTATTGAACAAATGGGGAAAGAACCCTTTCTTTAATTCGGTCAAATTGAAGGTGCTGGGAAAGGAGGCCAGCGGCTTGAGCAAGAAACACAGCGAGTCAATGAATTTGATAGGTCCACTCCTGAACGACAGGACTTTGGCCCCCACGGTCAGTTGATCAGCGACCTCGCGTTGTTGCTGGTAGAGTTCATGGAGAATAAACATGCCATCAAACCCTTTCAAATTGTGAAACACCACGAGAATCTCCCGCTCCTCCTCACGGTCCGGAACGTCCGTGAGATCATCCAAATCGCGCAAAAATTGTAGGGCACAGTCCTCCCCGTCCAATACATGAATGGTTGTTTCTGCACTCGATGAATAACATAACAAATTGGCTACAAACACGCCTTCCGCATTCTGCATGGCTTCAAAATCCGCATAAACAAACAGGGGAGGGGGTGGCGCCACCATGCTACCTCCCCCCTCCTCTGTGGGTTCAGTCTCCTCGCGTTCCACCACGGGCTGAATGTAACATTGGTGGTCCTGGATGGGTACCCATTCTTGACACGCGGGACATTTGGCGTACCCGCACTGGTGACGTTGGTTGGGGACGACCGTGTATTGGGCTTGACACTTGAGACACGTTTTGATGGATTGACATTGTGCGCTGATTTCATGATAACGTTTGCATTGACCACCGTAAAACTTGCGGTGACACAGACGGCAATACTCGGTGGGGCGGGTGCCACGCACATAATCCGGACAATCAAAGCGCCCACACGCAGAGCAACGTCTCCCTTGACAAGTGTGATGGGTCCGATCGTTGGTGTTGAACCCCCGTTCACAGTCCAGACAATAATAGGAGCGGTTGACAAACGCGGGAAAAGACGTGCAGCCATCAAAATGATCATTGGATTTGAGTAAACGAATCTGATGAGGGGCGGTGGGGCCTTTGAAAATCAAAAAGAACGGTTTCATCCGGGTCATCACCAAGAGTTGATATTGAGACCCCAACGCTTGTTGAAATTGGCGAAGCTCGGGTAAACCACAGGGACCCTCAGCGACTCCCGCTTGCTGATGGAATGCCTGGGCTTGACGTTTCTGCTCAGGAAACCCACGTTTGAGATTCTCCCAGTCGCGAAACCCGTCCACGCCTTGATCTTTATGGCAATGGGCTCGCATGGTGACAATGGCACGGGCACAGCATAAGGCATCTCTGTTTCGGATGGGAATGATGCATTTCTTTTTCTTATTGACTCGATCCAAACATGAACGTCCCACATTGAGTCTTTTGTGATGTCGACCGGACCCTCGGCCGGGCATGGAGACGAACACCACATCCACTTGAAACCCGCGATCGGGGTTGAAGGCTTCATTGCTGTTTAATTTCCCAGCTAGGGTAGCTAACATCTCATCCAATCGAGCAGTGCGTTGTAAAAATTCCCCCACGGTGAAATTGGCGGTTTGATAAGCGTGGGTGAACCCGTGAGCTGTAATGGCAAAGTTTACAAAATGATGGGCGGGTCGCTGCTCTCGGTCGAGTTCCGTTTCAATGGCTTGGTGTAACGCTTCCGTTAATGCCATCCCAATATTGTCCCCAGGAACAGGATCCCTCAATTGACGCAATTGCGCGTTGAATTGCGCCCGCTCCACGACGTTACGCCAGCGGCGTCGTCGACCAATGGGTTGCATAGTGAATTGAAAGAGAGGGCCTCGGGCGGCGGCAGCCCCTCCCAACTGTTCCCACCGGTCATAGGCGCGGTTCAACAGAGCATCTTCGTCCTCGTCACTGACAGGATACCAGTGGTCCTCCGCCATGACGGAGGAAACCAATTTGAATTTCCCACGCCAGACGCTGGCTTTTATAGACCCAAAAACACGTGATCAAACGAACGGGGATTGGTGGATGTGACTCAGGTGAGAGTCAGGTGAGAGTCAAGTGAGGGGTTGAATGGACAGGAGGAAGATTGAGGGGGGTACCCCCCATGGGTACAGATTTCTCAAGTCTCCGCTGAGCCTGGAGCGAGATCGGTGATTGGTGGAGAGATTCCTAGATATAGGCCATCGTCCAGAACAGACGTCAGTGTGGTTCGAGAATGCCCAATCGAGATCCTGAGAAGGTGAAAGAGGCCAAGCGCAGGTGGTACCTCAAACACAGGGAGAGGATTGCGACACGGAAACGTGAGCAGCGGGCGGCCCAGAAAAAGCTCAAACCCCCCAAACCACCCAAACCGCCCCCGACCCCAGAACAGATTGCGAGAGCCCGAGAGTTGAACCGCTTGGCCTGTAACCGATACCGAGCTGGCCATTTGGCCCAAGTGCGTGCTCTGAACCGCAAGTATTACTATCAACACCGCGATAAGATTGTGCAGCAGCAACGGGACCGTCGTGCCCGGAACAGACAGACGCCCAATCCCTTCCGAAAGTTGCGTGCGTTAGCAGACGTGTGTGCTGCCCGAGTGTTGGAGCTGGAGCATGGATATGCCAGGATCGCGCCAGCCCCCCAAGAAAAAACGGGACCCTGAAAAAAACAAACAACAACAAAAACTGTATCGGCAGCGCCAATACGCGGCCCTGAATGGGATCGAGGACGTAAAGGCCGTGCACCGTCGACGCTACCATGAACGGATGGCCCGTATGAGAGCCAATGGGGAGTACGAGGCCTTCAAGGCCAAAAAGACCCAAGAGGGTATGCGACGCTACCATGCCATGACCGAGGAGCAGCGGAACGAGGTGAAACGCAAAAACGCCCAGTGTCAGCGAAACTGGATGCAAAAAATGAAGGACAAGGGGACGTACGAGGCTTACAAGCAGCGATTGAATGCGCGGCGGCGGGAGATAGCCATCGAGAAAAAGCGTGTGTTGGGCATCGAGGGGTGGAAGGCTCTGCAGAAACAGAGATACGAGAAGCGGGTGGAATCGATTCGACATCGAGAATGGCATTGGTTGGACGAGGCATTGGAGCGTCCCTTTCCCCTACCGTGGCTGCCCTTAGACTGGACCGAGTCCGAGCCTGAGGAGGAGGACAGGGTGCAGACCCTTCGCACCGAGGCATTGCAGCAAATGGACATGTACTTGTAAGAACAAAAATGAAGTTTAATTAAAACATGTGTATTGTGCCATTGAACAAAGTTGTCTTTTTCTTTATGACTAAGGGGTTTACATGCCCAATCGGAGTTTGGCTTTCATAATGCGTCTAACAATACGCTCTGTCAGGTTTTTGCTGCCAGGGAGTTGATCAATCTTGGCAATCATCTTGCGATCCGCCGCCCATTTATCTTTCAAATTCTTGGCTTTATCATAGTCGATGTCATGGGCTTTAGCAATCCTGTCCAACCGGTTGATGCCGGGATCCCCACGGGCCAATCGTTTTTTCAAATGGGTGCCAGGTCCCATGTACTGATAGCCGGGCCAATGAAATTCAATGCCTGTCTTGTTGAGGAGGTTTTGCACATCAAATAATTTGCCGCCACGTTGCGAGCGTCGTCGCCGCCTCGATCGGGAACGGGGCGCCGCACGGCGTTTACGAGTCCGTCCCATGTTACGGGGTTTTCCACGATTTCCAGTCCAAGGCTTTCTTGGCCACACCGGCGGCTTTCTTTTTGGCAGCGTCAGCAGCTTTTTTGCGAATCCCGCGCTTGACCGCTTTCTTGATCGATTCCACACGTTCACTGGGGGTATCCCAAGGTTCTTGGCCGTACGTGTCTGAAAAAGGCAGGTCTTTCGCCAATTCTTCGCTGCTCAGCGGGGTCGTGAACTTGAGTTTCTTTTTGGCACTGGGAGTGATGTTCGGTTTGGGCGGGACAGGTGGTTTTCTGGGTCCACGAGTAGGGGTGCCTTGTTTTATACCCTGGGTGGCCTTGACCAATTGCGTGAACCACGCTTGCATCGGACCCGCCTCAAAATCATCGTCGCCCGGGGTCGTGGCCCCTGCGGCGGTCACACCCCCGGTCGGAGCCCCAAACGGTTGGCGCACTTTTTTGGTCCAATGGCGTAATTGACGGCTCACGGCTTTGAGTTGAGGCCGTTTCCAAGCATCGGGGGCATCGCTGGTCAGGAGCACATGTTGTTTGGCCGCTAAATCGGCGGCTTTGGTCAAGCGGGTATCTTCCACCAATTCTTGTTTGTACTGGTCTCGTAATTGTAAAAAAGCAGGGGCGTTGTCCACTGTGGTGCTCACCATCTCGGGTTCCATGGTGCAACTGAGGGGTGTTGTCTAGCGCATGCAACGTTTATAACATCGGTAGAGTTCCGACCAGAGGGCACCCCCTTTTTGAGCCATCATGATGGCGCGTCGTCGTTTGACAGAATGGGCGGGTTTGGCCATGGCGCGTAAACTCTGGGCGTGGGGTTTGAGCAACGTGATGGTGTGTCGGGAACGGGGCACCGTGCCACGGAGGGTATTCATCACCAATTCACTGATAGCATTGATCTGATCCGCATTCGCCATCCGCAACAATTCTTGTCGTTTGTGTTGATTGGCTTCTTGTAAGACACTTTTTAAGAACGGGGCTTGACGTTCCATGCGCCACTCCATGATGAATCTTAAGTTCAGGCAACGACCAAGGTCTATTTATGGTAAAAATGGCTCCACACCGGCCACACAATTCGCCATGAAAATGCGTTTGCATGTGATTTCGACACCGTGAACACAAGGCTGCTTCATACTGGTCGTCCCAGTCCAAAGCAAACGTGACGGCTTTTCGTTTCTTGGTCACGTTAGCGTCGGCGCGCCTGCCGTTTCTTCTTGAACGCCCCAGGCGAGAGAGCCAATGCCAACATGGGGAGCACGCCTCCACGTTGCAATCCACGTCGTCGGCGTCGTATTCGGGGGACATAACGATGTCGGCGACCGTTGGGTCCACGGACCATCTTTCAACTAACTCTTGTCCAAGTCCACCCAGGTCTTTTTATACGTTTTCACATGATCGAACAATTAAACGATTCCCCCGCATAGCGTTTCCGTTTGCCTGAGGCCACTTCTCGTCGACGTTTTTCGCCAATTTTGATGGCACGCTGGGTTTGATGATCCCCGATGGCTTTGGTGATCCCATAACCGGCTTTGAGAATCCCTACAGGCAGGCTGACCGCGACACCCCCCACTTGACCATGGCGTCGTGATCGTTTGGTGGGCGGTCGACGTCGAGTCGTGGTGCGTTTGCGTTTGCGTTTGGGTCCCATGACGAATCCTTTTTGAGAGCTGAACACCGCGATCCTCTTTTTTATACATTCACATCAAGCAACACACACTGGGTCGTTTGGCATACCCCTTCTTGACCACCCACTTGTCGTACGAGTCCTTGCTGCCACTGGCGCGATACTGGCGTTTGTAACCGGCCACCTGTCGTTCGGCGGCCTTTAATTCGGCTTTGGAAGGAATCTTCCACATATTCTTGTCCGCCAACAACTCAAAGCCTTTTTTGACATCCACGATGAACGGCGCCGTCCCACCCTTCATCCTACGTCGACGTGGTCGACGTCGAGTCATGGTGCGTTTGCGTTTGGCACCTCGACATTTGCCACACTTAGCGCTTCGACATTGGCCACACATGGTACTAGGACGATTGGAGGAACGACACTGTTTTTATATCCTTTGTTCACGAGCGTCGGCTCCGTCCACGTGTTCGTCCACGGCCACGGCCCCGTCCTCGGCGTGGTGGTCTGGGTGGACTTGGGCTGGAGGTTCGGGTGGACGTGCGGCGCACCGAGGGACGACCACCCTCTTCGTAGACCGTGGTGACTGTATTGGTGTGCGTGATGTTGCGAATCCGTCTACCTCGAGGCCGTTCTTGAGCATCTTCATTGAGCAAATCCAACCGTCGCCTTAATCCCCGCCGTCGATCGTCATCGTCATCTTCATCTTCGTCCTCGGACGGAGGGGACGAATCGGGGGATGGTGGGGAGGGCACCCTGGGGCGCCGTCGCGGTTGTTTGGCGGCGATGGTGGGGCGTCCAGTGGGGGTGGTCACTGTCGAGGTGGTGGTCCTGGTCCCTGCCCCTGCGCTGCGGCGGCTGGTGGAGGGGCGGGAGGGCGCTGTGGTGGTCGTGGCGGTGGTGGCAGGGCGTGTTCGAGTGGACGTGACGGGTCGCGGTCGACTGGTCGTGGGGCGTGTTCGGGTGGATGTGGTGGGACGGGTTTGGGTGGCCGTGGTGGTGATGGGGGTTGTGGTGGTGATGGTGGGTGGTGGTGCCGTGGTGGCGGGGGCGGTGCCAGTGCCCGCCACGGGCGGTAGCGTGAACGCATTCAAGGCATCGTCTACATTGACCGGGTAGGTCAAATTGAAATCGTCAATGTCTTGCTCCAATTGGGCACGATCCACGGGTCGAGACAATTCGGTCACCATGTCCGCCATGCTGCTTAGATCCCGGAGGACCGAGGGGGAACCCACCCCCGCGGGCGAGAGAGTCGGTGTGTCCATGCGGGCTGCTAACTCAGTATGTTGTCCGCCTTCTCTTTGCCGGCGGACCCTGGCGAGTTCTCGTTGCAGTGCGTTGTCGAACGGCAGGGACATCCGCACGCAAGGTGTGAACTTGCGCCTTGCCTTCTCGAGGCGTTAAATGACTCCACAGGCGGTAGCGATCATCCGACGCAGGATGCACATCCAACATCAAATAGCCAAAGGGGCGGGACGTGATGCGTTTAAATAGGCGCAAGACTTGACGCCACCGATCCGGAAAGGCTTGCAATAAAA